AACGACTGAGTTCCGTATGAACGATCGGTGAGCGCCCCCTAACAATATATATATATATATATATATATATATATGAGATGCAGCCGACAAAGACAAGGGAGACCGGAATGGCCATTTCTGGCTTATTAGCCGTCATCGGCCAGTCATACCCAACCCCAAGTGTGGATCTCTTGAGATTCGAACCCGGGATCTTTGGTCATGGAGTTTGACGCTTTACCATTGAGCCACGGGCCCGTTGTCTTGTCGGTTGTGATCGGGAATATCAATTATGATAGTGGGCGCTCACCGATCAGGTTACGGAACATGCTCGTTCCGTTGTGCCTTGGGGCTCATACTAGAACCCTCGCAGGCAGTCGCACAGCGACTAGTAGAATGATGTATATCGTGTGGTACCGACAAAGACAAGGGAGACCGGAATGGCCATTTCTGGCTTATTAGCCGTCATCAGCCAGTCATACCCAACCCCAAGTGTGGATCACTTGAGATTCGAACCCGGGATCTTTGGTCATGGAGTTTGACGCTCTACCATTGAGCCACGGGCCCGTTGTCCTGTCGGTTGTGATCGGGAATATTAATAGTTGGGTAAATTTATGTCAAAACGTTTTGACATAACTTGCACCCACCTATAAATACTGTGAGGCGCGATACCACACACACCTCCGACGATGGAAGCTTGTATGCTTTTGAAACGTCAGGACAGTAAAACAATGGTTCCCGAGATCGCCTTTTCTTCTCAAATATACATATATATATATATATTTGTGAAGAAGAGGCGATCTCGGGAACCAAAGTTATATTGCCCTGACGTTTCAAAAGCAAACAAGCTTTCATCGTCGGAGGTGAGTGTTGTACCGCGCCTCAGTATTTATAGGCGGTGACGATCTTGTTACAACGGGTTTGCGTCTATTCGGGGGCCGTCGGTTGGACGCCAGCTGTCATTGCACGTATTTGCATTGACCTTAGCTCCCGTCCTAGGCTGGCAATCTTCTTTGTCACCCCGCAGCCACTTGTGTTCTCACCTGCCGCATGAGTGGCAGTGATGATAGCACCCTCATCGGGTCCGTTAGCTTTACTGCGATCGTTCGTCCTCACACCTGCCAGATAAGTGGATGACGAGGCTGTAATGACGATCGCACCTTTGTCAGATTCGGGTTGAAGCACAGCTGCGCGTGTGTCCCCCATGGACTCGGCCGTACTTGGGTTTCTGTCTTGTCGCAGCCTGATTCTGCTCTTCTGTTCACTGAGCTGCGTCCGGAGGGCCTCGTAAGCTTTGGGAAGCGCTATGCTGCGGTTGATGGAGTTCGCGCCAGTGTGCCAGGCTTCGCTTGTTTCCCTGGTGATGCGGTCATTTCCCCGGCCCAGAATTTCAGCATTCTGGAAGGCGAACGTTTGTCCACAGTTTGCGCAGTGTTCTGCCACTAGAGACAACGGGTCCATCCGCCTTACTGCCCTCATGTGTTCTCCAACACGGGTCTGCAGTCGTTTGCCGGTCTCTCCAATATAGTTCATTTTACAGGAACTGCATTGGATCCGATAAATGACGTTCGTTGTTTCGCCACGTGGCAGGGGGGTCTTAGGTCTCATGACCAGATTTCAAATTGTTGACTCTGGCCGGTGAGCAGTGCCAATCCCCAGTGGTCTTAAGAGACGGGAGACCGCCTCAGAGACGCCGTCAATGTAAGGAAGCGCCCGCCAGATTTTTGGCCGTTCTGTCACCGAACTTCGGCTTGGACCAGGTTGTCTGTTGCGTTCTATGAAGTTGCGAGGATAGCCGTTCGCCATGAAGAGGCGCTGGAGGTTGCGTAATTCTAACCTTTTGTCGTCCGGCTCGCTGCAGTGTGTTTCTGCCCTTTTGTACAGTGTCCGCACACAGCTGCGTTTGTGGGATAACGGGTGCTTGCTGTGGTAGCTTAGGATTTGGCCGGTATTGGTGGCCTTCCTATACACCGTTGTTTTTAGGTGCCCACTTGGTTTCCGGTGAAACATTACGTCCAGGAACGGCAGTTGTTTGTTGCTTTCCGCCTCCATTGTGAACTGGATATCAGGGGAGACAGAATTCAGGGCATTGTGAAATTCTTGAACCATTTCCCGCTTGATGATGACAAAGGTATCATCGACATACCGAGCCCAAAATGTTGGCCTGTAGATCTAAAAAAACTGCGGTCTCCACTATTTGGTACGCAGCTCAACCATGCATGTTATGCCTTGAGTTTGTTGTCTTGTTGGTCCAGCGAAACTCCTGTGTGACCCACTGTAGGAGACCAAAACGGCAACCTTAAGTGCGGAGGAAATCGAGACTGTAGTGAATATCTCGGATTCGTCATTCACGATCTGCCCACTAAAGGGGACTTGCGGTAGTGGCACATCGGAGATGGGTAATAGTAATCCACGGAGGGCTGGTCCGGCTCCGCACTGACAATTTTGCCAGTAGCTGTTTAGTTAAATACTTCACACACTTATATAAGCATATAAAACTGATTGTGGAAGCCTCAGTAAGCAGCACTATGATCTATTCATGGGAAGCTGGATTGCAGCAAATCAGGTGGGGAATTGTGCATACTTAGAGCAGTTATTTTGAACAAAATAAACCTTCCCGAAGAAGAAGCGAGCGGGGCAGGGATATTTTTAAAATCCTATACGTGCATTATTTGGTATAGAAAAAACCAAAAATGAAGCTACAAAGTTTAGCGACTTCTGTAAATGTTCCGGTGAAAGTTTGCCAACCCTAGTGGGACCACAGTTCACTTGCCCTTTTCAGAAGTCCGCTTAAACAACCAGGGTTTGGCCAATGTTTTCGGGTAACCGCTTCTGCTTGCGAGTCAGTTTCATAGAAAATGGAGATCATCCACTCCTAGGGATAGAAGCTTTGCTAATAGCCATCAGACATTTCGAAGGTAACTGCCTTTTCAGAAGCCGAGTAGTGGATGGGGGCAAGAGAACTGCAAATTAACACCACCTATAAAGCAGATCGCAGCTGAGTACGCAAAAGTGCTTGGCAGTTTGCGGCAAGTTGAGTCTCCATTCGACACAGTTAACCAAGCCCCACCACTCCGCGCGAGGCACGATGTTTACGGCGGCATCATCGACCAGCAAGCCTGCCAAACAAGCCGGTTGGAAGCCGAGATCGCAACTCGCCTGGAGGACAGACTGCCAAAACACACACACGGCAGTTTTACGGGCAGGCAGTGTTGTTGACAGGGGAGACTGGACCGCCATTTCCGGGCAGATCTGCCATGGATAAATGGCCATACCATCAAAGCCAGAAGACCAAATGGCCATACGGAACATACATATAAACGTGGACGGTGTACATCGGTCTGGCCTGACTATGGGATGTAGTGCGGACACCCCGGTCCCCCTTATCCATGACGGTAGGGCAACTCAATTGCTAATTAAGGCGAATGCGTGAGTCCCAGTCGCTTGGCGCAGAGAGAAAGAACGTGCGCATGTGATTGCCGAGACGTCAATTGGCGCACACGGCTGCCGCGTAGTGAGACCGCAGTGAGTCAGACAGCCAGACACCAGCCCAATCCAAGGTCACACGGTCTCCCCTTTCCTTTCCCAGCCCGCACCCCCAATGTTGTCAAAATCTACTAGTTATTTTGCTGGCTGGAAGGCCCGGACAAAAGTTGATTGGAGCAGGGGAGAGTGAGGCCGACACTGGGAAATCCATCCTCGGCGCATTCCCCACCGTGATAAATCTGACGCTCCAAGAATCGTGGCTTCGAAAGCTTGTCAACTGACAGACAAACTCGGCCCTCGTAAGAGTATTTCGGAGTGACTGGAGGACTGAGTCAGGCTGTAGTAACTCTTTAAGGTGCTCTTAATGGTCTGACACGTGTAGTGCGGACCAGGTCGTGTGCAGAGTGCGTAAGTGAGTCGTTTAGGACTCGCCAGTCACTACGCCCCGCCCACCCGCGATAGTCTTGACCTTGTCTGGTTGTCCAAGCAGTCGGTGGGGGAAAAGTAAGGGGGGGGAGGGCGCGGTAGATGCAGTGCAAGTCCACGCCATTATAAGCCAATTCACGCGCAAGTCAGCGGTGCGACGCCCAGTCCGCTCGGCACGCAGTAGGCGCCGCCACTTCTGACGTCTGCATTGTCATAGTTTGTGAGGATGGACTACAATACGAGTCCGAGAGTTCAGGCTAGTACAAATTTCGTGACCACGCCCTCTGTACAAGTACTAGTTCTTCATGACCACGTGACGTCGGTGAGGACTCTTTCTGTGTGTCTAGCACAAGATTTTCGAAGCCGACAGGGTAAGGGGCTAGTGGCCCAGTGGTTAGAGGCGTGGACTTCTAACGGGTCGCGAGTTCGAGCCCCGGGTGTTCCACACTTCGGGGTTGGCTGACGACGGCTAATAAGCCAGAAGTGGCCATTCAAGTCTCCCCTGTCTGTGCCGGTAATAACGTACTGTCTATATCATGCGTCGCTGTGCGGCTGCTGGTTGGGCTCCAGAGAGAGCCCCTAAGGCACAACGGGAAGAGCGGACTCCGTAAGGACGATCGGTGAGCGCCCCCCTACAATGGGCTTTCATTCCTGCTGCTTGAATTCCCTGCTTTCCAATAAAGTCGCCAAATGAAGACAGTACTTAAGCCCTAAGCCCGACGACCTACTGCTTTAAGCGCAAAATCCTCTAATTGAAATGACCGCATTTTTCTTGCATGAAAAGCAAATCAAATCAAAATGGGCTGATATACAAATGGGAGCAAAACAAAGGAAAAACAGACAAGGTTTACAAAACTGGAGCTTTCTTGTTCTTTGAAATCCCTACATGAGTAAGGTCAGCGGGGGGATTAAAAGGCGATGTTGGGTGAATAGTGGCTCAGTTATAGGATGACGAGCTTATTCAGCTTAGCAAACAAAAAAAATTCACTTCAGGGAGCTCCAGGAGTGAAATGCAGCATAAAAAAAACGGAATAAAACAAAAACAGGGAAAGGAGGCGGGGGAAAGGCGACAGAGGGTCAAACAGGATGCGTGGACACTTCCTCCGTCCTCCTTAGGGCCTGATACGGTTGAATTCTGCCTCTTCTAGATCTCTTGCCTCGAAGTAGTCAAGGTGTTGACCCTTCCAGAGGTTCATATAACCCGCCTGATGAATGGGACAAACTCGGGCGGGAAAACTGACGGAGCCGTCAGACGCAAAACGCTGACGTCGCAGCCAGCGAATACAGACACGCGCAGAGTCGGCCGGCTGGACAACGAGGCCCTGTTCTCGGCGCTCCTTGAAGAGAGCTCGAGTGGCCGGGTCGCCCTGGTTCCTTTCCAATTCGTCGTACATGGCCGTGGCCAAGGGTCCGGGCGCGTACACAAAGGCCGACAAGGAGGGACGATCAATCGCCAGGCACCGAAGGTGCATATCACGGGCTGCCTTCGCTGTGCAGTAGGCCATCATATGTGACAGCGGTTTCTGGGCGGCCAGGCTGGAAACAGTGAGAACGGTGGTGGGAGCGTGCGGCTTATCCGGTGGCGCAAAATGACGCAGGAACACGCTCGTAAGGATGATCTGCGAAAAGAGATTGACACGGAAGTAGGACTCCAGGGAGGTGGAGGAGACGTACTCATCTGAGCGGATCTGTATATTTCCAAGACTGCCGGCATTATTGACCAGTAGGTTCCACTGCCGCTGTCCGGCCAGAGAGGCCTTGAGCATGGCGTCGTAGATGGGTTGTAGGGTCTGGGAGAGGGAACTGGCATCCACATTGGCCAAATCCATCTGATCGCCGCCGGCGAAGTAGACAGTTACACTGGTCAAGCCGTTCTCGGGGATGGATGAAATGATCTAGGCAGAGGGAGGATTGAAAGTGAAGTAACTGAAGAAATTGGATTGTGTAGAAGGGCCGTTAGGGACAAAAGATCCTAAAACTCACAAATCGGGAAATAAACCAAGTGCTCCACAACATGATGCTGTCTTGTGGTTTGTTGTGAGGGCGGACGAAGGAAGCACATCGGAACACTCACTTCCTGCTTTCGAAATCCCCTATAGCATCTTAAGCGGGGTGGAGAACTGCTGCTATTGTTGAAAGTCTTCTTTCGTGGAGCACTCAGCCGCAGGAACTCGAGCCCGGGTAACAAGCCGTATGTGGAAACGTGTAGCGACTGGAATGCCAACTTATAATGTCAACTACTATGCCCGTCCGTCTAAAATATAATTCGCCATTACGAAACGCCACCGTCTTAATTGCACTGATCAAATTTATACATCGCGCGGCATTTACAAATCCAGCCCTGGATATCAGAAAAGGATGACTGGCTGTTTGACTTCACCGACTCCTTCAGTTCCATGTACTGGAAAAAACTACGACCATGATGAAGGTTCACCATGGCTTCACCGTCATCCGCGGTATTGTGTAAAACAACCCTACACGCCAATTTGGCACAGTATGGCATCCAATATGGTAGTATCCTGTTGGCCGGCGTACTTAACTGTCACGGACTGGATTCGTGAAAGAGCACTTTGACATTACCTGACCAACCCTGACAACACTGACTATATCACCCTACTGGAGTCAAGATCGAATGACCTGTATAATGTATCCCTCCGAGTGAAAGAGAAGGCCCAAATATTCTCAAATGCATCTATGACCAAGCAAAGACAATCCTCATGATGAATGGCTGCTAACTTAAAACAGCAGAGTGTATTTTGGGGACTAGTTGCTACCAAAAAACCTGAATAAGAATGGCGTTGGCGCCCGGATCGATGTTGAAAGCAGGGTCTTCGCAAGCCATCAGGCGTTTTTGAAGACCCATCGCAATACCCTGATTTCCCCAAAGATCTGTTCAGTCATTTCAACTCTAAGGCCTCCAGTATTAAGCGGTGTGTGGGAGATTAGTGGAAACCGGCGGTTTTCGGCACCCCTTGCCTGAGCACAGATCCTCGAGTAAAGTACGCCTATCTGCTCTCTAACGAGTCCGCACTCGCTGAAGTGAATACTTAAGGAAGTTCTTAGAAGGTTAGGATGCTGAAAGGGGTCCCAATAAGACCAAAGGAGAGTGAGATAGTCATTCCCAACTTATTAGCCCTCGTCCTCCAGCCTTACGCAAACCGACAGAACAACGGACCCGTGGCCCACTTAGTAGAGCGTTGAATTTGCTAACGTCAATAACCCAAACGACCCAGGTTAGATCCGCTGGTGTTCCCAAAGCCGGGGTTAAATAGGGCTGGCTGACGACGTCTAACAAGCCAGTAATGGCCATTCGTCTTCTTTGTCGTGACTCCTGTCAGCATGTATCCCCCTTGAGGGTTCGGCATCGAGACCCACGGAATAACGCGAGGAGCAGTTCTCGTAACCCGACCGGTGAATACCCTTCAAACGTAAGTCTAAGATGGTTTAGACACTTAATTTCCTAAGCAGTCCATTTAGAATCCACCAGACCCACATAACTAACGGTAACCCGGGTGGATAGAGCGTTGTAGGTAATAAAGCCTTCGCCATGCTGTCGTGGGTTCGAATCCCACCGAGGTCGTCGAGTTTTTCACCGGTCAAAATAAATTATTTAAAATCTGCTAAAACACATAACTTACGTGGGCCTGGTAGTCATATGATGTATTCTAGCTGGATTTCTTGGGAAATCCTGCTTGGACGGCTAGTTTATTGTACCAGATTTTGTGGATTCCAGACGTTGCAGTAGGCTGGGTGGGTAATTCGACCCAAATGTGATTAAACTCACGGTTCCCAGTGGTCTCTCGTAGCTCAGGTGACTAGAGCATTGGCTGCACTAGAGCCTTCTCCTTGCTGTCTTGGGTTAGGATCCCACTGAGATCACCTAGTTTTTTTCTCAATTGGGTCAAAATGCGGTATTTTTGGTAGAAGTCTTATCAGAAGATACGGGAACACTAGAGTAGTCATTTTTTGGCTTTACCGGTCAGTGATACCCCAACCTCGGGCTGCACGCACGAGGTTAGAGCCGGTGTCATTTTATAATTGGAAACCCTCTCAATACTACATTGCGAGCTCATGTCATGTCGACTGAAAAATGGAATATTCAGTCACGCACACCGAGATATTCTAACTGCGGGACGGAAATACTCATTCCTGCTCACTCCCATGCGGGTGTTGATGCTATTGTTTTCCCCTACAACGGGCCAAGCGAGAGCTGCATTAGGCCAAAACGGGGGCTAGATCAGGGCTCGACATGTGTGTACCCCTGGGGTTGGGGTGGCGGAACACCTATACGCAGACTCCCGCCGTGCCAGTCACCTGGTTCTGATCCCGCCTCCGGTCTTATTGACTCTGTCTAAAAGCAGGGCCAGGAGGGTGAGGGAGGGACGAGTACGGCTGGTGCAGTGAAAGTCTACCATCACTACAAATTAATTCACATACAATTCATCACCCCGGCGACCATCCTGCTGATGGGCATATGGTGGACATCATCGGTAAGGACGGCCGAAATGTTGACTACAAAACCACCCCTTTCGAGCAGGTAATTTGTGAGAAGACCGATCAGATTAGGCAGGCCCAGCCGTGGCATGACAATAGACAACTCACCGATAAGTGGTAGAAAGAAGCGGTGTGCGCGGACTTAAGTCTCCGATTGAACGTTCAAATAATCGTTTCTAACGTTTAGATCATATACGGCGTACAGATAGGCGTGTCGGTATGGTATGTTAGTTGACTGAGAGTTTGGATTTGGCGGCGACAACATATTGGCGTCGAGCACAAACATAACCGTGACCTTTACGTTTCCGGACCCAAGAAAATCACTTATGTTAGCAAGCGACACGGTGTAAAGGTGAAAAACCAGGATGAAAATTGTTCTGACAGAAATCTCCAAAGTTGCTTTTTATTCTACTCAACGCAACAAAAGGGAATGGGGGTGAAATTTAAGCATAACTCGTGGTTACACGGAAACGCAGAAGAGTCACCACTTACCATGTTTTCAGTCTCACAAAGGGCTTTCATGTCACGCCCGAAAAGGAAGAACGCGAGAGATAAGGCAGGAGGACAATGGGCAGATCGGGGTTCAGCAAGTTCTTTGAGAAGTTGCACACAGAATGCACGACCGAAGCCCCGACTGGCGCCAGTGACAACAACGAAACAGTTGGCATTTGACCAAGGAGCAGCTTCTTTGAAAGACTGTCCGCAACTACACCTGTTTGTCACCGTCTCTGTCATAATCACTGTAAGTAAGCGAAGCGCAACAAGGAGGGGAGTCAGGCAAAATCTCACGTTATTTTCGTGAAGATGAGCTGGAAGAGAAAAGCCAAAGACGTAGCAGTTTGATAAAGACTAGAAGCTCAAGCACGAAAGTCAATAATCAGCCAATATGTCTGAAGGCAAAAGTGGCGTTGGAGCTTCTGAAGTCCGACAGAGACGGCAAACAGCATCCGTAAAGGACATTTCCCAACAGTCAAGCAACTTACTGACCGAACCCTAGATTATGTTTTCCATCCCCTTCGCCAGGGACTAATTGTTGCAAAGTCTTTCCGTCCTATGCGTCGTGGCTGCCGGTGTATCGCCTGCCGTACATCGACATATCAACGTTCCATCTGACCACTTCAGGCACGATATTCGCCGTGCAAGGAGACGAAACTTCAAAAATTGAAACTAGAACTGTCCCCAGAATAGTCGCACAGTTTTATGTAAACCCATTTATTCCCACATTACTTTTTGTGTTCTGGCAACGGTAAACAGAGGACGTTTTGCCGAAAATTTCGGAATGACACCTAAGTAAAGCATATTTCCCCTTTATTTCTATTAAATAGGGATGGGGCTATCAAGGGCAACCGTCCGCGACTATAGATATTTATGATGAGCAACAAAAGACAAGACGACAGCGGCAGCTTGGTTCGCGCACACAATTAGAAAGAATACACGCAAAGCGCGTAGTTACGAGCAGAACTGCACTGACCTTAGTAAAGGTTGGCGTGACACATGAAATGGCAGGTTACTTCACAGTACTATGTGCCATAGGAAATTACTGTCAACCAGTCTGTGAGATCGGCCTACACTATTCTGCGAGTGGGTCCTCCTGGCGACTCTACACACACGGGAACCTGTGCCTCTATTCGCTTACGTAATGCTTATGCAAGTGAAACAGTAGCCCGTGCGGTGACGCATCGTAAGATTAACTGCAGGTTCCGCAAAGTAGACGAGGATGCCGAGTTACGGTTTCATTTTCGAAAGCAATGTCCAGATGAGTTTGCTGACAAAAGCAGTTATTGAATATAACGGCTCTGGACGTATGCCATTGTAGGCGCATCAGCATTCACAGCACGGTATCGTTTACTACGAATGCGCGACGATTGGAGGCTTTGAGCCGCGTTCCAAAATTTTCCGTTTGTTTTACCAATGAACGACAAAACACTTGGGAGAGCAGCCTTCTATAATTATGCATTACTGTAAAGGGTGAATAGATGCCTTAGGGGCTGATATATTAGCTTAAGTGTCCGTTCAGCGATAAGGCGGCTGATGCCAAGGCAGGAGGCAGAGATCGCAACACAACTGCATCGAACGTCCAAGAACGAATCCTGAGCAATTATGGGCAAGATACTGAGCTCCTTTTTATGCACGGTGCTTGCAGTCGGTAGTTACTTCAGAAAGAGGAAATCGCCAGACTTGGGAGGTCTTCGCTGGAAATTGGTGAAGAACTGTTACTCGAATGGTGACAGTTGTTATGGTAGCGGCATGGGGAGATCTCAGTCACATATGGCAACATCCAGATTTTGCGATTCTCCTGTGAGGGCATTTGGTGGAAAAAAAGTGGTGCGGATGCACAGGACGCCCGTAAACACCAATGAGTATCGGAAGAACACATCCGAATGGCACATTACTCTTTCCTCGATAGAAAAGAACGGAGGACGGCAAAAAATAAAGTGGCAAGCAAAAGTTGAAAGACAAGCAGCTATGAAAGTTCTCACATATGACGGAAAAAGTCACAGCTAATTAAATAACACGGAGGACAATACAAGGAACTGACACAATAGAGCTCAAGGTACGTACAAAACAAACACAAGTTAATAAAAAATCGAAATTCGAGGGAACAAGATCTGCTAGCACGAGAAAGGGGAGCTAGAAAGGACCCATTTCCACGCGTAGCAAGGACGAACGAAATAACGACTGTTGTTGATGACAAGTGATGTTTTCATAGATGTTTTGGCAGATTTTAAATAATTCATCTTGGCCCAACTGTTCAAATCCCACCGAGGCGCCGAGTTCTTCACAGTCGGGTCAATATGAATTATTGTTTTGTTAACAAGAAACATCGTGTAAATGAACAAGTTTTGTGTGTGTGGTAGGAAGAAGAATGAAGCTTTTTTAGGTTTCATTCAACTTATGATGGAGAAGATACTGATGCATATACACACTATAGTGTGTATATGCATCAGTATCTTCTCGATCATCTTTTAAAATGCAAAACTCTGCTTGTGTATTGTCTAGGTGTACTGCATGTGTGCACAGTATTAATTAACTTAAGTTAATTAATACTGTGCACACATGCAGTACACCTAGACAATACACAAGCAGAGTTTTGTATTTTAAAAGAGTATGTCAGTTTGGATAGTGGTTACATCGTCGGGAAGTTTATTCCATGGGTTAGTGACCAGTTAACTAAGTGGGGCAAATTTGGTGGTCGGGTCTACTTCAAGTGTAAAAATATTGTGTGGAAATCGTCAGAGATTCACATAAAAATATAAACCGGCAATTTATAGAAAATAAGGTATGATGTAGACATCATAAGCTTCGAAGCAAGGATCAATGAATGAGTTGGTAAAGTGGCAAGTCCAATTTTGTTGCAAAAGAGAGGCGAGGGACGACCTTCAGTTTGAGCATTGCACACATTTAATAGGCCGTTCAAAGAAGTCGGTGCGGCGGCTGTGGTCAAGGTCACATGTCGTCGGCCGATATGTTGTATGACACCAAGCTTAAGCTCGATCCTCCACTATGTTTGCAAACATGCTATCCCTCGGTGAGGATTACTTAGGCATGAGCCAGGCACTGGAATGCCCGTGGGCATTTAAGAGCCTGAATTTAGAAAATATTCATCTGTCGGGTCTGCAATCGAGGTCGCCTGCCCTCGTGGTAATGTTGCATATCAAGTCCGCTGTTTCTCTACAACTTTGTGTAGTTAAAAGTAGGCCTCCTTTCATAAATTTTTGGTCCCTTCTGCACGTTACGGACACTTTTCTGAATTTATCAATCTGGTCAAAATACCCCACTTTCCGTCGCGTTTCCCATACTCTAAATGCTGTAGTCCTTACTTCACACACAACCGCCAGCACGTGTCTCCATCATGAGGCGCGACTAGGAAGGGATTTGGAAGGGGATTGTCCCCTCATAATTTACGCGTATTTGATGACTATTGCACAGGTAACATAGCGTGG